GATTATATTCAAAACCCTCATAACAAGCCAGATCAGTTGTATCATTTTTTTCACCCAGGTTGAACAAACAGTAAAACGGTTTGTTACCATTCTTATAGTAATAAAAATCCCTGTTTCCCTAGTTAAAAGTGAGTGACCAGTGGGCTCATATTTTAGCAGTAAACCATAATTTGAAATACCACTTCTTTGGTTTGTGGCTCTTTGTTGGAACCAGCTATGCTATGTGCATGATGCTTGAACTCTGTCAATCATAGTCTATTCAATGTGTTAGGATTAAAGAAGCTGGGACTTGAGGCAGTAAGTTAAGCCAACAGTAGTGTGAGACTGGAATATACCATGACATGGCCATGACATGTTTTGATGATTAATGAAACAAGAATGAAAAAGAATGTCTTACTGCCCTTGAGTACAATCTAGAAATATTAGGTGATCCAGAAACTGCTGCCATAGCACTCTGGAAAGAGCTATAATGTGCAGTGCATTGTAACATTACTGCAGAAATGATTTGAATGATGCCATTTTATCCTACCATATCATGACATCATGGAGGAAATGGTGTACATGTACCATTGGTTTGTGAGATGTCAATTCCAGAGGTGGTATTCAGCAGGCTCTGACCAGTTCTGCAGAACCAGCAGTGGAAATTTTGAGTAGTTCAGAAAACCGGCAAATACCACCTCTGACTGGCCCCCATCTATTCTCTGCCTCCAGAGTCCCAGCTGATCAGCTGGGTCTTCTTTTGTTGCCCTGCACAGGAGAACGGAGCTGGAAAGCAGGTTAGTGGGGTGGGGAAGGAATGGGGATTTTGAAGTAATTTTCTCCCAGGGGAGGGGAATGGAGATTTTGCATTATCCTTCCCCTGCCATGCCCACCAAGCCATGCCCACCAAGCCAACCCACATCTACAGAACCGATAATAAAAAAAAATTGAATCCCACCACTGGCCAATTCCCTGGTTCTCCTCCCTCAGATTGCCCATGAATGTTGCTGAATTGTTACCAGCAATTACCAGGAAAACCTAAATTATTACTAGCTTTTTCTTATCTGACAAAGATTTCTTATCTGTTTGGTTCATCCGCAATTCCTTATCTAACTTCAAAAGCCTTCTACAAGAAATCTGTTTGACGTTTGAGAAGCATTCTTTCTTTCCTGGCAGCCTACTGGCAAGGAGGGAAAAGGGAAAGCAAAAGAAGTAAGTTTTAGAAAGAGTATGAGAGAAGGGCCCTCCCTCCCTCCCCCTTCCACTCACAGAGTTGGTACAACCCAAACTAGAAGAAGTCCCTCCTTGAGGGAACATGGAGCCCAACAGTTCTTTATAAATCCAAAACTACCTGGATAAGAGCATCCCAGGATTTGCTCGTCCTCTGGGACTTTTCTGAACCCTAATGAAGAAAAACCTTTGTTTATTCGTATGAATCTTTTCTAGCACTGTGTGGAAAATTGTGGAAAATAGCAATAGCACTTAAAATTATATACTACTTCACAGTGTTTTATGGCATACCCTCAGCAGTTTACAAAATCAGAATAGTGCCCCCAACAATCTGGGTTCTCATTTTACCAACTTTGGAAGGAAAGAAGGCTGAGTCAACCTTGAGCCAGCTGGTCAGGATTGAAGGAAGATTTAGGAGCAGTTTTAAATAAGCATTTTTTAAAAATCAAGGTAACATGTCTATTCTGCTGCTTAATCTCTTTTCCCAATTGTTTCAGTTTGTCTTTTGATTTTTGTCATATCTGGGGGTTTAACTTCTTATATAAGCATTTGCTTTGAGAAGTGGATATGTGAGGTATTACTATAAGGAATAGCTGGGTCACTGTGGGAATTTGCTCAGCTGATGGGTTCAGGATTACAGGAAATGTGTCCTGATGGGAATAAATTTCCTTGATAAATCAAGCAGTCCAGTGTAGTTCAATGTTCTTTTTCAACTAGGTGCAAAGTCAATATGTGATTATATTGCTAGACGTTATATAATGAGCTTCTTCTGCTTTGATCCATTTTTATAGCAGATGGGAGCACTTAGGTGACTTTGGTAGATAAAGAAACTATCAGGAAATTCCAAGACTGTAGATTACATTGGGAAACTGGGGGAAAAAACATTTCAGAAGAAGAAGGCAATGGCAAACCACATTTGTAATCTGGATAAAATTTTGGTGAAAATAGGAGGAGGAAGAAGTGTTGGATATATTTGCAGTTTTGGGTTGTTTGTAAAAATAATAAAGTCAGGATACCAATAAATAAATAAATATTCTTCCAGGTAGATATGTCATTGCAGTCAAAAAATAGGGGTTGACTTGGCCTTTAAACTCCTTCACAAAAATCTTGTTAATCTAGCAAAACTACTAAGTCCCATTTAAAGAGCATCAGCCACATTTAAATTGTTAGGTGTGATAAACGAATGGAATCTATTTAATCCTGGGTATAATGCCAAAGTAGCATGTAAGATCTACTAATGTTCCTTAGTCATACAAGGCCAAATATTACACTTCTGAAGCTTAATAGTTTAAAAGATCAGTGATGTCCATCTCAAAATGTATAGTGAAAGATAAAATCGCTTCCCTTCCATATTCCTTTCTGAAATTAGAAGCCAATTGGAACAAATTTCCAGCAAGACATTTAAGAACAATAGTCAATGGTTCCATTCCATCTTATGTACTACCGAAAGTAATGGGCTCTACATATAAAATAAAGAGATTATAATCCATTTCTCAGTGAACAATTGTTCCCCAAGGAGATGCAAATGGTAACCTGACTGACCTGCCATGCTACAAAAATAACTCCAAAAGTTGTTATTAGCTTAACAATTAAGCTAAAATCAAACGTTTTTTAAGTTTCATCAATCAACACAAGGGATATTTAAGCCTGTGCAAAATTTTCATTTTAAAAATCAGCAGACAGGCATGCATACAAAGCGAATAATCTTGGCCAGAGCATACTAGCCAAAATGTTCAATGTTCAATGAACAAATGTTCAAAATTTGTTATCATTGGAATAAGGCCATTGATTTGAGCACAGTGGTGAATGATCTTGAGCCAAAGCTTGTTCTCACAACACACACGTATGATGGCTCATACAAGGATAATCTGATGATAGATAAATAGATAGATAGATAGATAGATAGATAGATAGATAGATAGATAGATATAGAGATGATAGTGTTGCAGCATAAGAATATTTCTACATTCAAAGATAGGGTATGGAAAGATCAAAGAGATATTTATCACAATGTTATAGAGATATTCTTCTGGTAGCCAACATAGGGGACATGGAGTTATGGTGCAACACATCTAGAGTGAACGCAGTTGAGAATGGTTATTGAAGATCTTAAATTCTATTAACTTATACATTACAGATTTATTTCAATACCAAGTGAACATGATTACCATCACAAATATCTCTTAATATCCTCACATATGCACTTCTTTGCTGACCAGTTCACAGAGAAAGGTTGTAACTGTTCAAGTGGCAGATTGATTATAATCAAAGCATACATCCAACAACCAACAAAAAGGGAAATATGTTATTTACTTGCAAGCAATACAAGACACAAAGTGTAATTTGGAACAGTTCTAGTTCAGTCTTATAATCAGGTAAGACCTTTATATTAATATCTTTCATTAATGGAACAACACTTTCTTTTTCACATAAATTTTTAATGTTTCTTTTTCTGATTTACTTCGCACTTATTAATCATGGAGTCAGCTTGAAAACAAAGTGAACTGAGATGCTTAAGATGACAGTGAGTTCCTAAACACCAGGAAAACAAATGACATCCCAAATTGCAATTTTATATTAAGCAATCCCAACAAATGAAGAATTACTGAATATTCCAGGGTTAACTGATTCTTCCATTCAGGACTTTTATCACTGAAATCCACTAAAACCTTTTACTATAATTCATATCTTGACTGAATAATAGAGCTTTTGTCTTCATAAATTTTTCAGAAGTGGAAATGAGCACTTTAAAAAAAGCCAATAGCTGAATCTAAATTGACAATCAAATTGGTTATTATTTTGCACATCTGCTAATCCTTTGAGTCTTGGATGAAAAAAAAAACAGAAGAAACATCTTATTAGTCAAGAGAATTCAAACTCATTTGTGAAAGTATCTTTTATTAAGAATTTAATATTGATAATCCAGAGGAAGATATAAACTAAATTTATCAGTGTACTTCAGACTTTCCTGTTTTTTAATTGATGTTGCTGATCTGATGTTGCTGATCTGAATATTCTTTTTTCCATTGACTCTAAACTTATTATCAGCATCACAAAGATCCAATGTAGAAAAGCAATGAAAAGTATTGTTAATCCAAACAACCTAAAAATAATATGTTCAGGTACCAATTATGCTTTAAAAATAATAATACAAAATTAAACGAACTTTGCTATAAAGCAATAATAAAAGACTTGCCAATTGAACCAGTTCCCCTGGTGTTAAAGCTCATCTTAGAATATTTCCAAAATACAGGAAAGAATTTCTTCAATCACACTCCTGAGGTCCTAATGTGGAATGCTAAGCAAGAAATAGCATGGTTATTTTGGAGCAATCCTTACAGAACACTACTGTATAAAAAAAGATCAAGCATTATAAGGGTTTCTCTGATATTTCATTTCACTATCCCCCCCACCAAGCTTCCTTCTTAGTCCAGAGCACTTGATTGTCTAGAAAGTCAAGGGTATTCAGTTCAGGATATAACCCATACAACTCATAGCCTTTCTTCTACCTGTGCTACTAAAAGGAGAGAATCTCTCCAATAGTAATTTCTTAACTGCATCTTTAGTCTGTTGTGATGGACTCCCTTCAAAACACAGTACTTTCTGAAGAAACCCAGGTGTGTGGGCAACAGTAGCTTCTCTGTCACCAATGGCTTTGGAGATTCAACCCAGCCAAGTGCCGTGCATGCTGCTTGGCTCATCATAATAGATTCTCTTGCCCAATCATATCCCAGAATTGTCTCCCCTACCTCCCACCTTGAAATGAAGGCATCAGCTTGTTTCTTACTCACCATGTCATAAACATTCAAGATCACCGGTTCATTTGCCATTGTAGATTGCAGTGATGCTTGGATTGAAGCCCTTCAATCCCTGCCAGATGTGGCAATACCCAAGGGGCGTGGGGGGGTTTTCACCCTTAGTTACACCAGAAAACCAATGCCCATGCTATTGAGGAAGTATCAGCTATGGTGGGGAGATCCAGAGTTGGTTTTCCAAGCCTTTTGATGTCAAAGTTTCTTGGTAACGAGGCTCCTTTTAAAAACTCTCAGCTGAATATTCAATCTTTTTTTAAAGAAAAAAAATCACTGCAGATGATTGATGTGCCAGTGTTTGTACAGCATGTTCCAAGTCAGTCCTTATCCTCCTGTCTCCTCATGGCAAATCATAACTAACCACCATCACAAGATAGAGTGGCTTGCTTTAAAAATGAGTCCCTCTAAACCTCCCAGAAGGGAAGAAACACAGAAAAGATTACAGGACAAGTGGATGGACGAATCCAAACTAGACATTTAGCCAAATTTGGAATACTTTAAATGAACATCAAACCATGGAGAAGGTGCACTGAGGGGTGGGAAGGGGGAGAGCTTAAAAGCAAAAATCTGCACCCTGTTTCAAGGCTAAAACAAATCCAAGCAGACATTTACAGGAAATCTGAGTTCCTCTGTATGTTGAGTCTCTAAATTCAGCAGAAGGGGGGAAAAAATTAGAACCGTCTACCCTGCTACTGTTTTGTTTTTCTTGTGCCTCAATCCCCAAAATGTAGAAATAATAGAACCTATCCAGGTGCTGAAATTTACCTTTCAGAGCTTCAGTTCCTCCTTCAATCTAGGTGATTATTTGGGGGGAAAAAATAGAGGTGGGGGGAGGCTTTGATACCAACTCCAGCTCACAAAATAAATCTGTGGGGAGAAGAGGAAGGTAATTTTTCTTAAAGGAAAAGGAGAACACGGCACTAAAGCAGTTCACTCAGTCTGAACCATAACAGGGAGCCGAGAGGGAACTGTCCAGGGTACTGAAGCCTCTTCAGCCATCTATTCCACGGAACAGCACTCTTGGTCACCCTTTAGGAGAATCGCGTGCAAAGCGCTCTCCGAGTGCTGATGCCAAAACCGTAGCAAATCAGAAAATGCCAAGCACCAAGTCTTGGCTCTTCTCAGCACTTTGTACAGGAAGCTAAAAAACCCTTTTCCCACACCAATTTCTCTCAACAGGAACATTGTCCAGAGACTGGAAAGAGCTGAAAAGTACCACTCCATCTTTTCCGGAGAGAAGGCATCTCCAAAGGGAGAAGTTTAAACAACCAGCAAGCGAATGAGAGCAGAAGGAATACATATTACTTTTGGTGGGGGTAGGAGTAGTTCTGGACTTTCTCTTATCCCGCGGCTGGCTAGGACTCTCGGGTCTGGCAGTGCTGCAAATTCCTGCTGGAGTCTCATAAATCCCATTCAGATTAGACCTGGAGGCCAGAGTAAATTGTGAAATCCATTGCGGTAAATTTCTTCCTGGGTTTGCTCCTCCCTCCCCTCCAAAGCATAGTGAGATGTGCATTAAAGAGAAAGGAGGGGGAGCTTGGGAAGGGAGTGAGGAGGGGGGCTCTTCCTGCATCCAATGAGTTTCGGGGAGGCGAGAGAGCTGACCTTAAAGCTGGAAAAGCACAGATCCTGCTGTAATATCCAAGAAAGGGTGCTGGGATTACCTCATCGGAATGGGAGGGGTAGCCGAGGCGTTCTGCCAGCTTGCAGCCAACCACATCTGAATGAAAATTGCAGAGAGCCTGTTACATCAGCATTGCCCAGCATTCCCCTGTCTTTCGCAGGCAACAGCTGCCCACTTTTTCCAGCTGAGGGTGGACCATTCAGCCGAAGAGAAAAATGTGTTAGCATCCACCAATCACATGTCAAGAACCAGCACTCGCTACAAATCAAGGGAAATAAAGAAGCAGATTAGCGTAGGGCAGCATGTATTCGTTTTGGTGCAGGCAAAAAAAAAAAAATCGACAGATTCATATTTCAGTTGATTTGAAACTTAGTTAATGATTTCATACACCTTCATTTACACATTTTATTTTGAATTAGAATAGAGAATTAACACTTAGTGTATCCCAGGACAGGACTGGGTAATTAATCCAAATGCATATCCTATATATTTAAGCTACCAGAGCATGCTTCAAGTGTGTTCATATAAAAGTGTTTACATGTGCTAACAGCGGCTAGGATTGTATTTGCTAAAAACTGGAAAAATGAGAAAATACCATTGCAGGAAGAAATTATTAAGAAAATATTGGAATGTGCTGAAATGAGTAAATTGACATTTGAAATTAGAGAACAAGAGGATAAACAATTTTATGAAGTTTGGGGTCTTTTCTATCGATGGTTGGATGATAAAACATAATAAATAGAATATTTAGAATTTTAGATAATAATGAATATATAAAGAGACATTTTTTTCTTTTTTCTTTAATATTTATAAAATGTTTTTAGGATAGATTTGGTATGATTATATGATTTGTTATTAAATAAACTAAGTAAATTATAGCTATCTCATAAAGCATGAATGAATAAAATCATAGTCAAATGATTGTTTAATAGTGATACTAGGGTATATAATTTCCGATTGATAATATGAGTCATTATGTAATGTAACTGTAATTGAGACTATGAAATGGATGCACAAAAAATTGGTAAACCAACCGACACACTGTTTGAATACTTATGGGAAAGTTGGATGTTTTTACGTCTTGTTTGTTTTGTTTGTCTTTAAAAACTAATAAAATTGTTTTTTAAAAAAAAGTGTTTACATGTGCAATGAACAAGCACTTGTAAGCTTCCTCCATGTCATCTGCCAAATTAAAATTTTAAAAGTAACGCCACCTTCTTTGATAACTCAATAAGAAAACCTCCACCAATTGTATTGGAAGTGACTTGAATCCCAAACTGCTAACCTACTAGTTGAATACAATTCTCCCCCACCCCCATCCATTAAAAAAGAATAATCTCCTTTTAGGGGTAAATTTTATTTCTATAAATCCATACATCTGTTTTCTGCTTCTCATTCTTTTTACTAATATATTATGTTTCGTTACCAGCTTTATGGTAAATGCATAAAAAGATTTGAGGATCATAGTTATATGTAAAATGTTACTGGAAGATTTGGAAGACTGTGGCTGGCTCATCCGTACATGCATCTTTCTCTCTTGATTTTTCAAAGGAAGGATTCAGCCACTCTTCTGAATTCTGTGGCGATGTTCTAAAGGTTACCAAATGCACTTAAGCTAAGCATTTTCTTTGGCATTTTCTAAGGACACCAACCATAATCTGGTACTATGTAGATAAATTTTAAATGGGGTAAGAGTTTGCATGTACTGGAAGTTCCTTGAAGCAGATTTTATGGAGGAAATGAAGTGTGAAAGGCTAAAGAGAAAGTATATGACATTTCCCAGCAAGTCTGAAAACTGGAAAAATCTATCTCTTCAGAGGATCTGGTATCAGAACAACAGCATGTTGTACTATCAGGGTACATGTAGAAATAGAAGACCTGACCACAGGTTCTATCAGCAAAATGAGTTCACTGTTGGAAGCAAATAATTATCATCCAGGTTTCGATTTTCATCCACGAACTGGGAAAAACAAGAAATGAGGTTGAAAAAATAAAAACAAATTATTTTTGGAAGATTTAATATAATGAGCCACCACAATTTTTATCAAACCAGTTATCCCCACTACAATTTTTATCCATTTGGAACCAGCATGTGTTCTTTTCATCCAGCTGACCAACTTTTTAAAATTACACTGCAGGGCAAATGGAAGAAGACATAAACGGCTAGGTTTATATTTAAAATGCTTATTGAAATCGTCAGAATTATTTTCATGGATTGGGTTGGATTGAGTTGGGTTGGGTGTAGCAAAGGCCACAGTGAGAGAATGCATTGGGCAGGAATAAAAAGAGGACAACTGTTCAGATGTGCAAAACTATAAATTAAATCAGTGGGCTATTTGGCCTCCCAGGGTGGCATGCCATATTTCTAAAAGGTCACAATAAGTTTATAAGGAGGCCACCCAGCTTTAACTGCCAGGCTTATGATCAATTTGTCATAATCTTCATATCTGATTCTCTGTGTTAATTTCACTCGCATAAATATTGAAAATTATTAGAATTGGCACTAAGTAACATTAGTATCACCGTGTTTTGAGAACTATTAGATACTTCATCTTCTTTATCACTTCAGCACTCACTAGGCTTTTTTCAAGCCATAAAACAAAAAATCACTTCATTTATCTTAAGTGTTATTAATAACTGCAGATCTATATATTTGATTGTTGTGCTTGCTGTCCAAAGGACATCATAAAGGTTTGGTTTGAACCACTCCTACCTAGCATGAGTGTCTTCTTTTTTAAAAAAAAGAAAAAAAATGATATCAAAGTATCAAAATTTCAAGGGCTTCAGTTGAAGGTTATTTGTCTTAAAAGTGGCTTTTCCTAACTTGGCTCACTTTAGAAAAGATTTTAGAAAAGATTTCTAAATATACAATTATTTATTGAACTACAAAATGGAGGAAGAATTAGTCAAAGAAATGATGATCACCTGGGCAAAAAAATGTGGTTATAATATAGAATTAGAGAATTGGCAAAAACTTTGGGTTAGAAATTACAAAATGACTATGGCCTCAGCTTACAAAGAAAATCTCTGTAAGATGTTTTACAGGTGGCATTTGTCACCTGCAAGATTGGTGAAAATGTTTAGCAACTTATCTTCCAAATGTTGGAAATAAAACCAGGTCACAGGCACTTATTACGATATGTGGTGGACGTGCAAGAAAATATTAGGAGAATATACAAAAATGGCTGGAAATGATAACTGAGCAAAATACTGAGTTTAAACCAGAAACATGCCTTTTAGGTATACTATCAAAGGATTTTGACAAAGGGACCACATATTTAGTGTTACACATATTGATAGCAGCAAGGATTACATATACAAAATACTGGAAAAACATGAATACTCCACCGGACAAGATTGTAATTAGGAAAATTTGGGACTGTGCTGAAATGGACAGATTAACTTTAAAAATTAAAGACAAAGATGATTCAGAATACTATTAGACATGGAATTAATTTTATGAATGGATAGAGAAAAGAGGTAGAAATGAGAGAAAGTACAATTATGAAGGTTAATGTTATATGTATTGAAAGTAAAGAGGTAGATAAATATAAATGTAGTAATTGATAAAAATGTAATTAATCTAGTGAAAGAAGAAACCTAGATCAACTTCTTTGGTTATATTATTGGTATTGTTATTATACCTTTACTACTGCTAATAGTTTGTATGTTGAGATTTTTTATCAAAGTATGTTGGTCGTGTTCTATTTGTAAATAATGCTCTGTCAATGCACTGTTATTCAAAAATGTTTATGAATAAAAACTTATAAAAAGAAAATTAAAAAGAAAAAGAAAAGATATTTCTTCCCTCCACCTAAATTTGCTCACTTTTGGTTACCAAATTTTACTGATGCAGATTAAAGCGCTTAAGGGTGTTCAGGGATTCATACATATTACAAGATTATTTCCATCTATTTAGCTTAACTTCAGATACAGTCTTACATACTGTTATAATGTTACTTCTACTGAGTTAA